TCTGTGTAAAAAAAAATAATATAAGAACTTTCTTATTACTCATTTCTACCAACTTGATGTCATTTTAATTTTTTCAATTTTTATTAACACTATAATGTGATCGTGAAGAAGAAAAAATGAACGATAAAATATTTTATTTTTTATATAATAAATTTATAAATAAAAATATTATATATTATTATAAATTAAAATAATAATAACATGGAGGTTTATGTAGAATATTAATCTCAAATTGGGAGGACAAATTTGATTACTAAATAAAAAATTAGAAAAATTTACACTTAAAAAAAAATAAATTTGGGAAGGGCTTGGAGGGTCAATTGACCTCAAGCCCCAACGTAGATCCGTCACTGCTCGTCACCTTGTAGGTGTGGTCTAGTTTTTTATTTAATTTTGTATGTATAGTGCAAGTATTAGTGCATGTGTTGTGAATATTAGTTACTCCCTCCGTCCTACATAATAATTTGTCTCTATTTTCTATTTTCGTCCATTTTACATAATTTGACCTTTCCTTTTTTTTGAAAAATTAACTATACACTTTAATCATATTTTAAAATTTAAAATTTAATTTTTTTCAATCTTAATTAAACTATTTAGTTATCTTAATCTTAATCTATAATTATTTTTACTAAATAATAATTATTTTTACTAATACATTTATTAATTACTTACTAATTATACTTTACCTAAATTATCGTGTCTACGTAAATACACCCATATTACATGGGACGGAGGGAGTACTATTATAATTTTTTTTTACAAAATATTACATACAAAATACTATTTAAATTAAATTTATCGCCAAAAAGTTTATTTACAGTAATAATTATTATTATTATTATTGTAGATTTAACAAAATATTTTCCTAACCTACTTATAATATTTGATGTAATATAAATAAATATTTGATGTGATATTTTTAAATATTAAATTAATTTAAATATAATATAAAAAATATATTTGTTTGCATTTTTAATTTGAGATATGTTTTAGCTTATGAGAAGTGTTGACAATATTAAAAAAAATTTGTTTAATTGTTAAATTTTTATAAGTTTGTAGAATATATATATATATTATGTTGATGTATATATATTGTATTTTTTTAATAATACTAATTTGAGAGCACATCAAGAAAAAATTTGTTGGGGGTGTTGTTTATTTAATATTTTGGATGAGAGAAGCAATAAATGATGAATATGAATTTATATTTTTTTTCCAAAAAAAAAAAGGTTACATGTGTGTTTATGTGAGATTTTGGTTTTGATTTTTTATTTTATATAGTAAAATAAATCTTGATATTTTGATTGTAAAATTAATTTTTAGTATAGTATCGTAAGTTAAAAAAAACAAACATTTGATTTAATTCTTCTTAAAAAAAACTGTAAAACTATTTCAAAATCACACAAGCGCTTTTGGTGTTTAAAAATATTTTGTATTTTCATTGGCAGTTATTGAGAATTGTATTAATATTATTAAACTGTTTAATTATATTATTTTGTAAGAAAATTATAATATATTATTTCTTCTGTTCAGAAAATTTAGTCTCATTTTTTATATATATATACAAAGAAATTAGACTAAATTTGACGGACAAGAAAAATATTATGAGTAACGGTGATATTATTTTGTGAAAAAGAATAAATTCATAAACTCATCTATCACATTTATTATTATTAATAAATAAATTAAATTTATGTTTCATTTTTCATATTTATTTTTGGAAGAATTTTATGTAAAATGTTATTGAAATTAAAAAAATTAAAGTCTTATTTTATTTAATTACTTTTAGATTATTAATATTAGTTTTTTTTTTTTTTGTTAAGTGATTACTATTTTACAATTGATACCATTTTTTTCCAAAATTAATTTCAAAATATAATTCAACATAAAAAAATATTTTTATTTTTATTTTAATATTTCACTAAATAAAAATACTTGAAATAACAATACATTATAAACATTATACAAATTAATCAAACTAATAAATCATCTATATATTATTTCTTAAACTCAGTACCCAAAAGAAATTGGACTATTTTTATTTGTCGAGTGTAAACTTTTTACTATTTTCAAAATTTTCTAAAACTTCAGCAACCCTTCGTCGAGACATAATCTCAGTGCTTTCTTCACTTGTACTCTGGCAATCGTCATACAGGATCCAAAATCAATTTTAATTGTGATAATCGTCATACAGGATCCAAAATCAATTTTAATCGTGATAGTCGTCATACAGGATCCAAAATCAATTTTGCTCGTGACAATCGCCACACAGCATCCAAAATCAAATTTGAAGTGGCAATCGTTACACAACATCCAAAATAAATTTTGCTCGTGGCAATCGCCACACGACAGCCAAAATAAATTTTGCTCGGACTTGCTACACTTTTCGACACACCAATAGTGCTAAGCATAACAAATTGAGTTCCCTTGCCGTAGTCTCTGTATAGCCTCACCATGTTTGACGCCGTTGAAATATCGGGAACTACCCTACAAAGCTTTTTCCCCAGAAAATGCACTCTTTCGAATTTGATGATTCCTTTCAAGGTTTTTTCTTTTTGTGTTCTCAAGTCTCCAAGGAGTTGTCCTATTTATAGAGAAACAAAACAATACATGATGCTTCTAAAGGATTGGTCAATTATACGTGGCTATATAGTGAAACAAAATAGTTAGTTACAAAAAGATGTATTAAGGGGCGAAATCTCGCGGACTTTTGTGGTAAGTTATTGAAAATTTACGATTCAACAGCTTTTAATTTATGCGTAAATAATTATATTGGTAGTAGTTGCAGCGGTCTCCTACAACATTAAATATTCAAAATTCAAAAATAAAATAGAGAACACGTCAATCGATAAATGTGTCAATAATTACTGAAAACTTACCATTCAACAACTTTTAATTGATGCGTTAATAATTATATTGGTAGTTGTTGCAACGCCCTCCTCCAATATTAAATATTCATAAATAAAATCGAGAACACGTCAATCGATATATGCGTCAATAATTATTGAAAAGTTACTATTCAACAACTTTTAATTTATGCGTCAATAAGTATATTGGTAGTAGTTGCAACTGCTTCCTACAACATTAAATTTTACAAAATATTATCGAGAATACGTCGATCGATATATCATTTTACTAAGAGACAAAATTTCTGTGAGCAAAAAGCCTCAATTTCGGGAAAAATCTTGAAAATTTTTGTGTTAGGTTATTGAAAAGTTGCAATATTATACTCTCCATAAAAATATGTTTGTTTTACCATTTTAGTATATACTCATACTTTATTTAGTAAAATAGTTCAATTTTACATCAAATATATTTTAATTCAAAAATTATATTACTTAGGCATAAAAGTTTCAATTTTTACTCCTAAAAAGGTAAAAAAATATTAAAATATTACTCCATCCGTCCCACCTACCATGACTACATTGTCGTTTCTGTCCTTTCCGCATCCCATGTCACTTTTCTTTTTTAGAAAATGATTATACACTTTAATCTCATTTTACATTTTCTAATTTATTTTTTTTAATTTTAATTAAATTAATTAGTTATCTTAATTTTAATCTATAATTATAGGATAATTATTTTCACTAATACATTTTAATTATCTACTAATTATATTATTCTAAATTCTCGTGTCTACAGTGACCCAGACATCCAACGTGACAATAAAAGCTCACGAGATTTCGTCCGTGGTTGCAATTTTATAAATTTAAATTTGTTAAATCGTAACTTTTCAGTAAAGTATAACAAAAGTTCAAGAGATTCCGCCTATCAGTGTACTTTTATAAAATTAATTGTTATGTTTCAGCAACGGACAAAAGTTCACGGGAGTTCGCCCATCATTATAATTTTATAAATTTAAAGTTGATAAATAATAACTTTTCAGTAATGTACAACAAAAATTTGCGAGATCTCGCCGGTCATTGTATTTCTTGCAACTGCCTATTTTGTATCGCCATAAAGTGACATATAAATTGACCTATACTTTCTAGCTATATGTATAGCAGCATCCATCCTTGGTTTTGTATTTTAATTTAACCAACAACAAACTCATTATGTGTGTTATTTTATCAAATATTACAAAATTTTTATTATTGATTATTCTTTTTTTCAAAAATATCAAATTAAATATTTATTTTTTATTTTCTTTATTATATTAAAAATTAATTTTACATTCAAAATATTACATCGCACCTATTTATAACCTTCAAATTTTTATGTCAAAAATTTATCTTTGTAATACCTACAATTGCCTTCTGTAACATTTAATATTTATAAATAAATAAAATATTTTTAAAAACTCGAGACTATCTCAATTGATATTTTTTATTTTACTTACAAAAAAGGTTTGCATTGCCTGTCAGTGTAATTTTATAATTCAAATTTGTTGAATGTAACTTACCAATAACATACAATGAAAGTTCACAAGATTTTGTCCGTCATTATAATTTAATAAATTTAAAGTTGTTGATCGTAATTTTTCAATAAAGTACAGCAAAATTTGGCGAGATTTTGCCCATTATTGTAGTTGTATAAATTTATAGTTGTTGAATCATAACATTTCAATAACAAACATCAAAGTTTGCGAGAGATTTCTCACTTCATTATAATTTAATTAGTTGAAACGTATGTTTTCAATAATGTACAATAAAAGCTCACGAAGTTTCATCCGTAGTTGCAATTTTATAAATTTAAATTTATTAAATCGTAACTTTTCCGTAAAGTACAACAAAAGTTCACGAGAAGCCTATCATTGTACTTTTATAAAGTTAATCGTTACGTTTCCAATAACGGACAATAAAAGTTCACGGGAGTTTGCCCATCATTATAATTTTATAAATTTAAAGTTGATGAATAGTAACTTTTCAGTAATGCACAACAAAAGTTTGCGAGATTTCGCCGGTCATTGTATTTTTTTATTTTTTTTGCTTGTATGGCAGTATCATCTAGTGTCTTTTTCTCTATAAATAGGACAACTCCTTGCAGACTTCGACATAACACAAAATGCAAAACTTCGATATTCGGTGTTGGCTTTGAAGCTCTCCGCTTAGTCGTCTATCATCTCCGCAAAGTAGTTTTAAAGCATTGCCTTCATGTCTTTGAACTTCAAATGCATATTTCAATTCCCATATTGACGTCATGTTTCGGGTTTTTCTTAGTTCAAATTTCTCCATTTGGCATAAATCATTTCTCAAGAACCTCAACTTTCATTGGAGTTAGCTCCCTCACCTTAGACATGAATCATCAAATACAAATGAATGTTTTTTCTAGTAAAAAGGCTTTGTGTGATGAGTTGATAATTGAGTTCAGGAGAGTAATATTTCTGCAGTTCTTGGCGATTTCATCCTTGTCGAAGATGGCGACACTCTACAAAAACTACTGCAGCCCTAATCGATTCTTCTCCAAAATTGCATGCAAAAATCACTTTTCCATCCAAACTTGCAAAGAATCGACATCAGTCTTTTCTTCCACAATGTTGGATGAAATCCTCCATCTTGATTAGTAAGTGTTGCTCAAAAAAACTCTCTTAACGTTTAATTGTTCATTTATTTCACCCTTGTAATATTTTCACAATCATAAACTCTTCAAAGCAGTGGCAATTCGAAGAACATAGGCAACAAATGAGGGACAAAACCAGACTGATAATCCCTGGATGGAAAGCAATGAACTATTCGAATCTTGCTCCACAGCATGGTAATTTTCTATAAGTTTTTTAATTAATTATGCTTGGTTTTTTCCTCAAGTTCGACTCAAATGATTGGCCTAATTGATTAGTAATAAATCTTTGTTTGTTTATGTTGGATTGTAGCATTCGTTCGGGTAATTTCAAGGAGGAATGGATTTGTTGCAAAGCCATTCTACAGAAAGCACTATGGGTGGCCACAAGATGTATATACAATACAAGAATGGGTGGTAGATGAAGAAGAATATTGTCTAGTGAGAGAGAGATTATATCGAATGGGTTGATTTTGATATATATGGTAGTTTGAAGACAACTTTAATTTTGTGTATCTTTGTATCTCAGGTGTGTTTGGATGTGGGAATCGAGTTTGGGTTGGAGTTGAGGTTAGGAATGAGAAATAGATGTTTGATGCGACGCTGTGAATGTAAAATTAATTTCTAGTACTCCTGTCTTAATTCAAAATATATTTTTTTTACCATTTCTCATTTCGAATATCTCTTTCGTAAAAAATAATCATACAGTAATACGAAAATATCTTTTAACTTTTACTTAAACTACAAATATATAATTACACGTATAATTACTATACATAAAGTCAAATGGAAAAAATGTCAAAAACTATTACACACTTCTACTGATTAATAAAATATTATTATTTCTTAATCTATTACTGAAAATCTAAAAGACCCTATTGAATTAGAACTTATGGAGTATAATATAAAAATAAAAATAAAATGAATGATTTTGTAACAACTAGACATATTTTGGTATTTATATATGATTATTTTTACTATAATTAAAAATAGATACTTTTGAGTGAAATAAAAAGATAATACTCCCTCCATCCCATAACTATATATTTGTTTGCTTTTTACACGAAATTTTAAAAATATTAGTATTATATTGAGATGTAGTATGAATAAAGTAGAAATTACTAAAATAACTTTGTTAAGTATTGTGTGATAGAAATGTAACGACATTTGTGTAATATATTATAAGTTATAAGGGTATTAATGTTGAATAGATAGTACACTTACTAAAAAGGAAAGACTAAAATGAAAAAATAGATATTTTGTTATGGAACGGAAGAAGTAAAAAAAATACATTAAGTAAAACCGAAAAAAGTATTACCTTATAATATTTTGCATATCTTAGGTTAAAACATTATAGGTTGGTTGATTAGTATTTTCTTAATGACACGACCTCTATAAATATTATTAAAAAATTATAATATACACAACAATAAAATACATATATATATATATATATTACCCATTCACAAAACATCTACTATTCAATCCAAAATATCACAAAATGAACCTATGTACAAAATACAAATATTCAAAATTTAAAATTTAACCCTAAACCCCAACATCATCTTTTCAATAAAAACATCAAAAAATTCTATTCAAAACATTATGTCCAACAATACTCATTTGTAAAACACATAATCCCAACAAAAAAATGAATATATCACACATATAAGCAAGTCTACCAAATCTCCAATCAACTATATAGGCTTTTACTAAGTCGACCTTTACAAGAAGCGTTATCAAACTTGTCAACCACAAATTTTTACACTATAACATAAAAAAAATTTAAAAATAGGGAGGGCAAAATAATAATAAAAAAATATATATAATTTTATTATTTTTTACACTAAAAAATTTTATATTTTAGGGGTTGGGGGGTCAACTGCCTCTGACCCCTATGTAGTTCCGTCTCTGATTGTACTCCGTTGTATCATGTAGCTTTCATCTCAGTTAGAGCTCATCTTATCACTTTATTAGTCATTTGCTTAAGTAGCTTGCATCCACTTCTTAGAATAAACTTTCAATTCATGTTTCGTCATTGTTAGACTCAAATGTACTTTTACTGAAAATGTGTTTTGATTCAAAATCCCTGTGTTTCACTCGAAACTCAAAGGTAAATTAGAGAACAAAAATATTATTTAGAAGTTGTCAGTGGGGCTACAATAATGACAACATTATTCAATGCAGGCGTCACTGGGCCGGGCGAAAGGGGCGACCGCCCATGGCCCAATCTAAATTGGGGTTCATTATTTATTTATGTTATATATAAATTATTTATATATAAATATTATTTGACACTAGTATATTGGTACAAGAGCACGGTTTGATGCTTAAGTTCTATGCCCTAATTTTTGTTTTAAGATTGTTAATATTAATACTATTATTGATATTTTATTTAAAAATTCTAAAACAAATAATTTATTTAATAATTTATATTCTATTATAAGTAAAAAAAAAAAATCGGAGTAGATCATTTATATATATTTAGGGGTTTTTTATTTTTGTTTTAATTATTTTTTTTGCACTAAAAAGATAATAAATATTAGATAAAATTATTATTATTTATTATTATTATTATTATTATTATGCAAAATTATCAATGCCGCCTTTATGATTTCGAAATTCAGTGTAAATCCTCTATATACTTTAAAAACGGCATGAACCCCTTATACTTTATATTTTTTTTGGTGTTGAGAAGATGACTTTTCATCTATATTTTTTTTTATGGTGAGGTTTTATAACGTTTGTTAAAATATAAGGAAGTCTTACGTAATTTTTAAAATTTATGCTAGAAATTTGTTTTTTTAATTTATATTTTATTATAGGTAAAAATATTATATATATATATATTTAAGGGCCCCTAACTTTTATTTCGTCCCGGGCCTTTCGAAAGTCAGGAACGGCCCTGATTCTGATACAATATTAGATATAATCAATAGCTAATATACCTATTAATTTTATATTCTATCATATCACACTCTTCGTAAGAACAGACTAGTATTCAAGGGATTTCAGCATAAACACAACATCGTCTAAACCAATGTTTTCATACTTAAAGTGAAAATGACATCTCCAATATTAGTTCTTAGCGTGGTCGATATCGAAATGTTAGTGTTAGACCTAATGGATGTCGGGCATGAAGCAAATAGAAAAATACTTAGATTGAATGAAAAGAAAAATTGGTGTGTTAGTTGAGAAAATGCTTCTATTCACTAAACCAATGCTACAAAAAAAAATAATAATAAATAAAACATTTGTAACGAAAATTAAGGACGGATGACATTAACTATGTGAACTTTAGGAAAAAAAAATTTAATGAATTTTGTCTTTAATGTTATTAATAAAGAAAAAAATTGATTTAGAGATGAAAATAATTTGTTACAAAAATACTATTTTCTTGTAGTATAAGCTCCAGGGCAATGTACAAAAAATTTATGAAACAAAGTAAAAGAAAAGTTATACTCCCTCCGTCCACAAACTAATGTCCTACTTTTCTATTTGGGACATCCAACAACTATTGTTCTATTTTTTTTTAAACACAAATTTTACATTTTTACTCTTCATTCATTTATTACTTTTAATATCTATCGTACACTTAAGGACAAATTTGTCAATTCATAAAAAAAAAAACAATCATCTAAGAAACCGTACAAATATACTTTAGGACAATAGAAATTGGACGGAAGAAATATATCTCTCATAAGCAGGCCGACCCTCCGCCGGGCATCACCAAAAGATACATGTATATATACATACATAATAGAAAATCGACGTGACAAATATATAGAAACACATTATAGTGATGATTCAAATAAAATCTTATATGGTTTTAACTTTGATTCAAATTTATTTAAAAATAACAATATCAACCATATAAACAAGGACCTGAGAGGTTCATGTCAATGATTACTGGATGAGTGTGTATTTGTAGATTATAGTATGTAGTCCTCATTATTATTATTATTATTATTATAAAATATTACTTTAAATATAAATTTAATTTAAATTTATATAATTGAATATTATAATGTGCTTCTTTGGAATTTAATTTAAATTTATATAATTGAATATTATAATGTGCTTCTTTGGATTTGTATTTTAATTTTTTACTATTTGTATTTTGTATTTTTCTCTTCAACTTATTAAATTAAATATTATTAGAAAAAAAAAAAAACAAATCTTCTCAATTTTATATATAAAGAAATACACACTAAGGGTTTGTTTGGTTGTGTTTCGAGAATACCATTGAAATTATTTGGTGTGATATAAATATATAACTGGTGTGATATTTTAAATTAAAAATAAATTTGTATAATATATTATATAATATATAATATTTTATGGGATAAAAAATAAATTGCGTAAATACATAGTAAAAATGGTAGTTGTAATACACAATAAAACAAACTCTATTTTTTTAGTTCAAAACATCATTTTTGTCGTAAAATATCACCTCCAGCGGCTTAATCGGAAGCTGGCTATAATCGATTTGTTTCAAAGGGTTCCCAGCCCCTCAACGGGCTATCTCGCGATGATCGAAAAATTTACGAATCAAGGAAACTAGAATTTAAAACTAATAACGCAAGGGAGAAACTAAAAATTGAAATTTTAATTGATATAAATGTTCTTGAAAGAAAAATACAGAGAAAAATTAAACTATTGTTGAATGTGGAATGACTTATCTGGCATCTTGATCTTCTTTAAATCTTGTTATTTTTTAAATTTTATTTGGATAAAGATCTTATTCCTAAATTTTTCTCAATCACTTCAACCTTTTTTCAAACCATGTTTGACCGGGCTTTATAGCTTCCATTGGGTTGCTTCTACAGCTAGGCCAACTTGATCATTAGGCTGGTCGGATCTACAGGTCCATTCGCTGATCTGAACCTTTCGCTAGGCCGCGAGCCTTCCAAAGTTTGGGCTGCACTTGTATTGGGTTGTCCAATTAATTTTGGGTGTGTACAATCATATTCAGTACTAATTAATATCTCATATAAAAACCCACTTTGACTCAAATTTTTACTATATGTTCATGAATATCAACTCCAATCGCAACATGGAATTACAAATATACGGAAAGAATTCAGAAACCAGAACAAGGACATGGTGGTTAAATTTCAGGAGCATCTTTCCTCAGCTACGAACACTTACACAAAAGTTTTTGCGATTCTCCGAGACATTAAGATTGCTATGGAACG